TATGATTAGAAACGTGTTTGTACCATTAGGTAAGATTTTAATATACAAAAATAAAATAAAATAATCCGAGGGCAATGCCAATTTATCACTTAAAATAATAGCCAACTCTTTCATATTTTGAAGATAAGTCAGTTCGTTCTATTTCTTAATATTGAACAGAATAGGGATATTGTATTTTTGTTATTATTTATTTATTCTTTTACTATTTAACGATATAGTGAAATAGAAAAGGAATTTAATGATTCCTTCCCTCCCCCCTTACAATTTTAGGATATTTTAGACACTCATAATTTACTTACCTAGTAATTGTTCCACGTAATAGTCTGTAACTTTTTACGTATACCAGTGTGAGACCTAAATTTTTATTCTTTGTGTCTAGTAAAATGTTAAATGTGAAAATATGTGAAACATAATCGCCCGTTCCCGACCGTTTGAAATCTGCTATAATAATTATGTTTCAGGTTGAAAACTCTTGCTTCCGGAAATATAATTAACTGAGACTTTGAGAAAAGGAAACGATGTTTTTAGGGACCAGTCTAAATAAAAGATATTTATTTGAGTGAACCTGGAAACTAAATATTTGATTTATTACAATTAATAATTTTTCAACACTTACTAGACAAATACTCTAAACTTATCTACATAACTATAATAAGACCAATATGGACATAGGGAGTTGAGCTTTGGGGATCCAACCATAGAATTCCTATCGTATCTAGTGTTGCCCAAATGCGAGACCGAGACGAGTCTTGGTTTTGCAAACTCAGTCTCGGTCATGGTCTTGGTCTTGCGCAAGACTTTCGCAACAGTCTGGCAGTTACTTATAGCTTATTACTATAGAGATATTACTGTATTTTTTTAGATAGGAGAAACCTAACGAAGCCCGAATGAAAAATTAGAGAAGTTGAATGCAAAACTATATTAGTTATATCAGTTATTAACATACAGTAACTAAAATTGTCAAGTATTAGTAACTTTTTTGAATTAATTTTTATTTAAAAAGTTGATTTTTTTTACCAGTCCTGGTCTTGGTCTTGCAACAACTTAGCGGCCTTGGTCTTGGTCTTGTAAAGTGCAAGACCAAGACTGATTTTGGGCAACACTAATCGTATCCAATCCTTACAATCCAAAATCCTTAATGTTCCATACTTTGTCACAAATAAAACCATTCATAAAGACCTTAATGTACTATATGTCGCTGATATAGCCCTAGTAAGATATCTATCCTTTCATGATAAACTTCAGTCCAGTCTAAATCCCCTTGTTTCCACCCGTGCTTCTTCTTCGATTCCTGATGGTCTCGTGATCATCTTACCTAGAATTATTTAGGGAGTGCTACCACTGGGTAGTATCTCTTCAAGCCTGTTCGTGTCATTTTCTCTAATTTGTGCATATTTACTAGTTGTATTTCTATACAGTTGTAAATTTCATTAAATAAACAAAAAAAATAATATTGTGAATAATAAAAAAACAAACATTTTTTTGAGTGAAAATTAGGCACAAGATGACATAGCTCGCTTCCATACATAACAACTGGTTGCAGGAACAAGATGGTGTATTCTTATTTTTAAAGCTCTTCGTTTATCTCGATTTCGAAATATTTTTGTAGGGGACCAATAGCATCTATTAGCAACGATCATCCTTACTTTTGTTTCTTCTCTTATAATATTATCTTCAGTGGTTATAGAGTCAAAATATTTAAATTGAAGTTGACAAATGAGCCTTTCAGTTGACAAAATGACTAGTTCCAACATTTTTTGTTATTAATTTTAGTGATATTTGTAGTAGGAAAATTTACATCTTTATTAAAAGTTATATATTTCAACAATGGAATCACCTACTATGTAATCAACTTACTCACTGTCTGTACATATATTATAAAATGTCCAACTAGAAACATAAAAAAAAGACATTACTCAAAAATGTTGAAATTGGAGTAATTCATTCTGTCAACTGAAAGGGTCATACAAGTATTGAGTATTTAATTTAACCTTTCAATTCTTGTTTGGCTGTGACGCGAGATGTATTATAATAAATTAATTAGGAATATACACTTTTTATTGTAAAAAAAAAACAGACTTTTTTTTCAGGTTTTTAACGGTTTTATGTTGCTCACTGTAAATTATATTATGAATGAACTAGTTGGCCCTTACGAATAATTCTCAGAAAATTTTGTTTAATGAAGAAATAGCAAAACAATATGTAAATAAGTAGATCATATGTATTATATAAGGAAGGAATTAATATTTTTTCCTTGGTCGATTACAATATTCCATTTAACATAATAGACCAAAATATTTGTACAAATTGCTTTGCTAGGACCTATTTTTAAATGCTGATTGGAAAGATAATAAAAGTAATAAAGACAAAATAATGCCCCGATCGTGGGATTTTCTAAATTATTAAAAAAAAAATAAAGTCTAGGAACAAACAAATGCTTTTAACAAACAATAAAGTTAATAAATCAGCCAGGAAAAAAGGTGTAGTAGACTATTCTACTCCTAAACGCAATTTCTCTAAAGAGGAAGACATTAATAAGTATACCGAAACTAATGGACTGTATCTTTGTTAATAATTGTCCGATTTTTACAATTTTTTTTTTAGGTAGTTTATTAATCTTTCTAATTATCATGAGTGCAAAATAAAAGAAAAAAAAAATGCATACTTTTTGAGTTATTCTCAAATAAAGTTTCTTTTCCTTCATTACTTTGTTTTAATGTGTAATGTGTAAATTTCAGAGATATACGACTATTTTTCGCAAGTGAAGGAGAAGAATATCTTCAAAATGAGTGGTCAATCATTGGATTTGATGAAGAATTGACGAAGTTATGGCGTACAGACAAAAAAAACATCTTTTAGAAATATAACTTATAACTTATAACTTATAACTTATCTACTCATTTTTAGTGTTAAACGTAAACTCTGCTATAGGCAAAGAGATTTTTTTGTTTACGTATAGTTGAAATTATAGCTCATTCATGTCCAAAAACAAATGTTTAAAAAATATTTCGATGTTAGATCTTTAAAAATATAAGATTTATAGTGTTTTCTAAACCAGAGTATTATACCAGGAAAAGAATACATATAAGAAATATATGTATCTAAAAATGATTAGCTACATATCCTCTGTACTTGTTAAGGGTAGAATGAAGTATTCTAGCCAGAGGTATTGACTTCAAAGACAGAAGTTTTCGCCGTCACAAACAACAAGAAACAGGATTTCGGAAAGGAATCGGTTAATTGTTGCACTTTCGACAGGATTGAAGCATGAAAACTCTAAGACCTATTACCTACGGAAGGTTTCTTTTGATAATGCATTGGGTTACGTGGTATGTATTAAGCCTCCTTGCGTTGTGAAAGTGTTAGCGGGTTCTCCGTCATCAGGAACTAACCTATTTACCGTAACACTGGATGAAAGTAATCTCTAACCAAGTTCAAGAACGACCGTCCATGATCCATGAAATAAAAATAGTTTCCTGAAGCTATAGAGTCGTTTCATTGTTACTTTGAAAAAAATATATAAATATTTTTCACTAACGTAGTTAAAGAAGCTTTGTATATTAAATTATAAACTATATCTATTTTTATTTGTTATAAAAAAAAATGGGCTGTATCCTTTAGCCATTTCTTATTAATTGTACAAGAATGCAGCCAAAATTTTATCTGATCCTTACAAATTATCTTCAGATATAATTTGATTAAAATAAACATCTTTGTGGTTAAACAACACAGATTCGTTAATGTTAATCCGCTAAGTCAAAATAATTAGCAAACCATATGAGGCATGGAGGTGCCAAATAGATAAATCAAATTTTGAATTTTTCCCCCAAAAAACTTAAATATGCATACGCTAGATTACTGTTTTCTTTCTTTTCCAATTATTATTGAATAAGTGATTTTTAAACAAAATATAAAATAGGTTTATAGAATACTACTTAGCTTTTCCAAGTATGAAATTAAAACTAATAAATTGTTCATTGTAAAAATTAATATATTCTTTATATATATATATATATATATATATATATATGTATGTGTGTGTGTGTGTGTGTGTGTGTGTGTGTGTGTGTGTGTGTGTGTGTGTGTATTCAAATGAAATAAACATTTTCATTACAACGCTATTAATTTCAAACTTATAGAATAAAAGTAATATAGCATCAAATTCTGCCTCCACTGAGTACCAAATTTTTAAATTTAATCAAGGCAATAAGCTATGAAGGTACATATGACTTACAACGCTTCAACATTTGGAATGTATATTCTAATGAGTTATTCTTAACCAAAAAGATACTATCCGTAGTAAAGATCCCTTTTCCTGCATTAAGAAGCTATGGATTTTGAAAAACTAGATGCCAAAAGAATAGGAATTACATGCAGAAATGAGCATCCAGAAGTCATCTCTTATTTTTATACGATGTTGTTATTCTCAAGGCTTTCTTCCATAATAAAGTTATTTTTTATTCTAGCATATGATTTAAGAACGTATATTTTCCACCTTCCACCACATTTTTATAACACAATCCCCATTTCGATCCTTTATTGACTTACTTGATTTTTGAAAATTATCTTCCAATTTTTGAACGGATTTGGAATGGCAGAAAAGGGTCATTTTATTAAGAAAAGCATAAACTTTCATAATTCACATCCAAGCCTCATGCTGCGAGTTTCCTAAGTTGGCGCTGGCTCCAGGATTATCAACTTCATGTGTGAATTACTAAGATAAAGAAAGTTTTACTGTAGATTTAGCTAGCGGAACGGGCCCACGAAAAAAAAAGTTGTTGTTTTTTTTTGAAAAGGTCAACTTTCTACCTATTTCTTCTCTGATAGTCACCAAATAACATCATCAGCAACTTTTCAGTCATTCTCATTCTCATTTTATTCATTGATTCGCTGCGTATTGATAATGTTTGATTGTCAAACTGTGACAATTAAAAAATAAATAAACATGTAATAAAAAAATTTGGATAAATTATAATGAAGAAAATCTTCTTGTTTCGCAGATCAGTGTGGCGTCAGCAAAGTGACTATAAGCTACCGGCAACCTAGGGACAACTACACACAAGGGCGGATTGTGAATGGAAAGCCAACCTTGAAAGGAGCATGGCCGTGGCAGGTAAAAAACTTAAACTTTTCCCTTTTAGCTACATTTGAAGGAGTAAAAATAAATAAAATTAAGTTTCAGCACAATAGGTTAGGTTAAATCCGAAACTACATCAACTTGTGAGTTAATATCATGTTGTAGAATTTTTGCAGAGGGAATTTTCGTAATAATAGAAAAGAAATTTCGTATGTTTTTTTTTTTTTTTTTGGAAGGGTTGGAAGATTACTAGTACATCCTATGAAATAAATTTGGCGCCCATTTAACAATACTGCTATATACCTAAATGTTTAATGAAGTATATTATCTATTTCGAAGTACGCAAATTTAAAATTCGTAGACCCAAAGAGTAAAATGGAAATCGGGACTATTTGCTATTTACTGGGGTGTCAGAAGGAAGGAGGAGGGGCGTCAATATTTTTGAGGATGTACTTTTCAAAGGGTTGTGAAATTTTTGGGAACCATATATTTTTTGTGAGGTTTGGATTAACTTTCAAACAAAAATTAAATTAAAGAAAAAAATTTAGATTTTTTTTTTCTGGGAAGTAAAGGGATGTGGGCTTGTGTCATCGCCCCTGGAAGGGAGGATCACTCCTGACTGACTTTATCGAAGACACGAGTTTGCCGCCATACGATTATGGAATTTTCGTCATCAACACATGTGGAACACTGTCTTAGTGGTGTTGCACAGAGGCCATATTTTTATGTTGTAAAGAACACTCCAAAATATGAACAAAACCCACCAAATGTAGTTTCTCATTGATTTTTAATCACCATCTTTTGTTTTTTAATTTTAGGATTTTCGGTATCACGTTATATTACAAGTATATTGCATGTACGAAGGTTCGGATAAATAAATATTCATATAGATATTTTTGTCACTGCAGTAGTTTCCGCGGGGTGTTTAATGCTATTGTACGTGCCTGTTACCTACAGCGCACATTTTAACAAGACGGAACTGTTAAAATTGAAGAGAAAACAAGTACTTAAAACTTGTGTGCACAAGCTTGGATTTTAAGGGTTCCTACTTTTTTATATATTTAAGAGAAAATAAAATTTTAGTAGTTTAAATAATTAAATATTTTTCCTTGCTAAAATTAAAATCATCATTAGATTCATGTAGTTACAATGTTATTGCACTGCCTTAGACATTCGGCACCCCTGGGCAATGACGACACCGTCCCTTCAAAAAAATTAAATTTATTTCTTGAGCAGTTTTATATTATGTGATATTTGAATATGTTTCTTCAATACAGTTGCTTATTGACAGACTAAAATTAATTATTTTGATACGTTTTGCATTTTTTTTAAATTTCTAAACCATCCCAACTGGCGCCCTCTAGATCAATCAGGGCCCTCGGGCAATTACCCCGGTTACCCCGCCTTGAGGCCGGCATTGTTTTTGTTAATAAGTATTCCTAATATCTTTAAACAAAGGGTGGCATGGATGTGGTTAAAATACGGAACATATAATTTCAAGGAAAACGTCCTACATATAGCATAATTTACTAAGCGAATGGTTATACTAAATTTAACGATTCTCAGGTTTCTTTAGAAGTTCTGCATCCGAAATACGGCCTTATCGGTCACTGGTGTGGTGGAGTTCTGGTCAACCCTTCTTGGCTAATAACCGCTGCTCATTGCATCCACAAGTAAGTATTTAATTAATATTTTTATCATGTAGTTAAAATTAAATATAAATTGCTATTGTTAAAATTATTAACAATTGCGTTGCTTTAAATGCCATCACGCAATCCAACAAAAGCAGCAAGGGTGGTTAATTATACAGTTATTAGGTTGTATCAACCCATTTTTTTCTCAAACGCGAAAGTTTATATCGCGTGAGAATCTTAACTAAATAATGTTTGAATTTCGTAAAACAAATTCGAACCTGTTCATAGTCCCCACTGTAATAACCCTATTTTACTCGAACGCTGGTGGAAACTATTCATATATCGTCCTTTATGTGTCTCAAATTAATGATAACGGTATTTATGAAAAATATACTATTATTCAACCTAGTTTAAAGAACTTAATTGCTGAATGTAATAGAAGAATGGAATATGTAGCATATAAAAAATGTGTGTGTGTTATGTTAAACACTGAATATTTTCAGTAAATTTCAAAGCTAAGCAATATCGAACATTAAATATCATGTAATAGTCATAAATAAATTACTCTATTCTGGAATCCTTGCCAAAGAGGGGTAACTAAGGATGTCTGCGCCCCAATGTAAGGAGTTTACCTGTACGTTGTTTTCCTCCTCCACAAAAGATAACCAAATTAACATTTACCACCAAAGAACTACTTTATCCCCTACTATTTTTCAAATTCTTTTATAAATACAATGAACAGAGCATATCTAAGGTCACCAAAAAGAAATAATTCTTTTTATGATTGAAATATTTGAATTATTAATATTTATGTAAAAAAAATTTCATTATTTATTTCACTGCAGGGAATGCCCCTGAAGTTAATTCTACTTAAAATTTTATTTTATTTTCTCACATTTATTTATCTCTTAAACAGCCTCTCCCTAAAAAAAGGTTACTTTCAGAGTAAAAACTATTTTCAATTAGGCGCCTTTAGGAATGACTGTTGATGGGCACTTAAGGTTCTGAAAAAACTTGGTACTTTATTTTTTTTATTTTGCCACGGTAGAAGCGGTTATGTAAATAAAAAGAAATTTTGGATTATTCCACAGACCCATCCTCGATTACAAAGGCGGATCTACGGGGAGGGGAGGGCTTTCGGGCTGAAGTTCCCCGAAATGGTAAAACATAACGATGTTTTTTTTTTATAACAAACTATCTCTTAAAGTATTATTGTTCGTGTAATTACATTTGATAGGACTTCAAGAATCACTTACCATCATTTCATATAGGTAGTTAGTTTCTTTCTTTTTTCCCCAAAAGTAATAATCGTTATTTACATGGAACAAAAAAAAAAGCTTTCGGGCTGAGGCCCTCCGGATATGAATTATTTTCGGGTTATCGCTATTGCTCGATTACAAAAGTAAATGATGGTATAGCGGACCGTGGAGTTGGAAATGCAAACTGGCATTGTAGTCTTAATTAGCCTCTCCAGTGAACAGGGGTTGGTTGACTAATCGGCTCCGTGTCCCAGCGATATCTTCAACCTGCCGCTGCCTGCTCTCTGGACCGCTGTGCTGGGCGACTGGGACCGCAACGTCGAAGAGGAGACCGAGTTCAGGATACCCATCGACGAGATTCTCATACATCAGAGTTTCAGGAACTACCAGAATGATATAGGTGAGCTTGCAGGTAGTCATATATCTTTGTTAATTGTAATATTTCTAGTATAATATGTCTCTTGGTCAAGAATAATAATCAGGAAACAGTAGTTCAATCCTCACTCTATTATTTATTCTGTACCATGGTGCAGGGGTGTCCATTCTCCTTCCCCTCCCCCTCAAGGTCAGTGGAGCATGACCCATCCCCTCCTCCAAAGATATTTATTTCTCTTCTCTTCTTAAAAACAGTGCAAGCTAAAATACAATTTTAAAAATCATAGATCATATACAATTTAATTTTCAGTGGTTGGTATTGTGTTTTTCTTTTATCCCCTTCTTTGAAACTTTTTAATCCGAAAATTCATAACCCTGTCAAAAATGTCTCCCTCAAAAATTCAAAACCCCATCAAAATGTGCTCCTCTCAAAAAATGGCGCCGATTGCGCCATGATACCCCCTTGAAAAACCCTGCCAAGGCGATCTATTTCTTGAACTACTTTTCCTCATCAACGTTTAAAAAACTTATTCGATTTTAATAGAAACAATAAGCCAAGTCACTTGCTAACACATTTGGAATATTTCTGAAGGGTTTTGAAACTCATGAAGCATAATTGAGCTAGCCATCTATTTGAGTGAGATCCAACATTGGTGGATATTGTGAAGCTTCAGACTTATTCTCAAGAATTAAAATTCATTATTTTAGGAATTCAGGCATTATCCATTTTAAGCCATTATATTATAACATGACCATAATGAAAACTGCCTAATGTACAGCATAGTAAATAATCATGACGCAATTGAGACTTTTTACAAATAATAATGACAAAATTCATATTGAACTACATTTAATTAATTTTTATATTTGATGGTATTAGTGTTAGCAAACATTTAAAAATCTATCCTATATTTTTATAGCTCTAATGCGCCTATCACGAGAAGCAAAAGGCCTATCTTCAGTCTGCCTAGAGTCTGATGGAGAAATAACTGACAGAGTTTGTACTGCAACAGGCTGGGGGAGGAATGTACCAGCTGGTCCACTTTCTGCTAGGTTGCGTCAAGTAAGGGTCCCCCTTCACAAAAATTCTCTCTGCCAGGACAAGTATGGACCAGGGTTAAAAATTGAAGATGGTCATCTCTGTGCTGGCAAGCTAGACGGATCTACAGGAGCCTGCATTGTGAGTAAATGTATTTCTATGTATTTATTGGGACAAAATATGGTCTTATATTTCATTAATTTTTCGTGTATTGTACCAATATGTTATTAACAGAATTATTGTTTCTACAGGGTGATTCTGGAGGCCCACTTCAATGCCGAAGGCAGGATGGTCGATGGTTTCTAATAGGTATAACGTCATTTGGTTCAGGTTGTGCCAAGCCAGGATACCCAGATGTATACACTAGACTTTCATATTACTTGCCATGGGTGTTGGACAATATTAATAATTGAATCAAAACTACCAAAAAAGTCAAACATATTTTTTGTCAATTTTGACATTTCATATAAGGATAATGTTAAGCTAACTGAAAATCCTCATGTACTTATCTACAATCTTCTTTTACTAGGATTAGGACCAAACTAATTCTAGAAAAGATATTTTCTCAGATTCTGAGATTATTTCTATACTATGTGGTAGCAATAAAGGTAGCAATATACTACCAAAAAAATCAAACATTTTTTTTGTCAATTTTGACATTTCATATAATAAGGAGTATGTTTAGCTAACTGAAAATCCTCATGTACTTAGCTACAACCTTCTTTTACTAGGATTAGGACCAAATTAATTCTAGAAAAGATATTTCTCATATTCTAAGATTATTTCTATACCATATAGTAGTAATAAAGGATCCAAAGAGTGGAAGATATATCCTAATACATGTTTAGGACTATTAATATTTTAGAGCCAAGTTCATAGTTTGTTTCACTGTTGAACTACTAATGAACATCTTAATTTGATATCACTTCTTTGTTTCTTATTGTAATTTAAAATTTTTAGATAAACCGAGTTTATCTCTAGGTTCAAAATATTGTTCCCTATAAAATTTAGCTCAAGATATATTTATTAATTAGTAAAAAAGAAAAATGATATATTTTTATATTATAATTAACCAAATCAGACTTGTTTTTTATAGTGGAATTTGTTAAATGTGTGCAGTTAGATATAAGATAATGGTATTCTGATGTGATGATTGTGATGTTATAGTACTTAATGCAATTTTTAATTTTAAATAAGTTTTTATAGGTTAAAAAATGTAATTAGAAATCATGTTCCTAGTAACATTTAACTCTAGTCTTTAAGTAATTGCACAGATATTTTTGTATATAATTTAAGTATTTAATTTAACTTCAATATTTATAGATATGTTTATAAAAACATTTTAATGAGAATTTTGAAAGTGTTTTTTTAAATTTTTTTATCACCTTCTGAATTAAACTAAATTATCAATAAAGTTAACCCAGAAATGTCATTCAATTGCTGCAGTGATTGTTAACTATCTTCATCATATATCAATTTATGTTCTTAGATATATAAGTCTATGTATGAGATATATTTTGTCAAAGACAACACCCACACATTTCAAAATTTGATGGAACCCAAAAATGTTTGAGTGTTCAAATGAAAGCTGTAGATGTAATGTTTTCTTTAAAACCTAACCTTTCTTTTTAAAATTCCAATAGGTATGACAGACTTTCTTTAATATGAAACATAAACAAAAACAGTTCAGAAAAAGAGTAAATAGTTTGTCAGATTACCAGGGATCAATTATTGAAAAACTTTAGAATGATTGACGAAGTGTGTAACCATTTTATTGAAAATTATTTCCACAAAATATACAAGAAAAAATATTTACAATAATTTATTTTATATTTACAAATGCACAGAAAGGTTTAAAAGAACAAGTATTCATCAACTTTGATTATATATAGAAAACAACAATGTGATTCCATTGTTGTTTAATAAATACTATAAAATTTTACCTTTCTTTATAGTTGTTATCATTAACTCTCAAAAAACAGTATAAAACCACTAAATTGTTTAAAACTCACTAGTATTGAATATTAGTAATAATTAGGGATGCAGATGTACAATTATGAAAAATTAATTTAATATTTTTAATGATCTAATTTTTCAAACTAATTATACAAATCTAAGTAAGATAAATTGCTGAAAATAGATATTATCATAACTTGTAAAATATTAAAGCTAGTTAAATGGAATATAGTGCAGTCATAAATCTTGAACATTCCAGTGCTGTTAGCTTGATTATACCTAATATATATATTTTATTTATTATAAAAGGAAAAAAAATCTGTAAATTTATGCTATATACTTAATGAAAAATGCCTTTAAAAATATACCTAGACAGTTGATTTTTTTTTTTTAAACTATATATAATTGCATTTTAAAAATAAGAACTCTAATTTGGGGATACAAATAATAGGTTAATGCACATATGGCTTAGCCGTATATTCAATATGGCTATTTGCAAGGAAAATTACACAATCCTTTGAAAAATAATTATTTTCTAACAGAAATATACATTTTTAAACAAGAAGCAGGAGTCCTAAAACTGAGGAATCAACGACTGCCTGGTTAAATTTTTATTGAACTATTTTTTTTTAAACATATTTTGTTATATAAAAATTTAATGTAACAGGAATATATATACAAGCTCAAGATGAAAGCTCATTTCCTCTGAAGCAGTCTATAAAATGGATAAATGGTGCAGTAAATGCATTATTTACATAATTTAAAGAAATTATTATTATATCTTTGATTTAAAGCCATTTTCTACATTGTTCATAAAAGATAAATATTGTTATGTACAGTTATATTGTTCTTTTTTCTTTACATATACATACCATATTAGACAAGTGGTGTTAATATGTATATATTATTGCAACATAGTATGATCAACACTTTCAATACATATGGAATATAAAAAAAATATCGTAAAATCAGACTATTACATAAGTTTATATCCCTTTTAAGATTTCATTTTACATTTATTTTTACAATAGATGTTTTATTTATTTTTCTTCTTAAAGCAAATCCAAAGCATTAGTTCCTTATGTTCTTGATAAAAATGTATAAGAACTTATTTTAATTGGTTATATAATAACAATGGTTAAGAATCAAATCAAAGATATTTTTGATTGATAATGTACAAATTAAAACAAGAAATACAGTAAAACCTCGAATAATAAGGTGAGAGAAGGGAAGGGGTAGGCATGAATGATAAAACAACAGGGTTAATATAAACAATGAAAAAACATGTTTAATAAATTAATTATATTAATATTAATTAAGCGATTGATCCCCTGAGTATTGAAATTCCATATCTGTATATAAAAAAATTCAATATATAAAATTACTTTTTAGGAACCTTCAATTCATAACAGAGAAACTTTCTGTATAACAAATAAGATTTTTAGATATCAAACTAATATTTTATAATTTTTAAAATTACAAATATATAAAGAAACTCTTTAATGGTATATTTTGATCTCAATGGCACGATTCATATCTAAACATCAGTTTAAAACAATATGAGCTCGGCAATTATCTTAGTATAGATGTTAAAGGTGCTTATTATTAATATTTTAAGTACTACCTCGATAAAACTCTGAATTTCAAAGTCTATAAATATTTTAGAGCATTCGAACAAATAACAGTTGTACTTTAGGCAAATATGTTTAAAAAAAAAAAAAATAAATAAATAAGAAAAGCTCTAATAACAATCAGAACATTTAAAAATATAGATTATTTTCTTTTATTGTTTAATGTGTAGCTGTAATTTTTATAAATGTATTAATAAGTAGATCAATAATTTAAAAATAAATATTTTATTAGTAAATCAAAAATTTTTTATGCCAGATTTTTTAAAAAGAAAATATGGTACAAAATGTGGATCTTTGAAACTCAACTTAAGAGTAAAAGTTGAAAAAAGAAAATACAGAAAATATTAAACAGAAACAGTAAAGAAATTAATAATCTTTATTGATTTCAATATAATTTTTTTAACAATTTTTTATCTTTCTTTTCTTTGTTCTTCTTTAATTCAATTATATAAAATGGGAAGCTATCAAATTTCAATTAAAAAAACCAAACAAAAAATATTTCAATGCCTATTATTAAAAGATTATTTCTGTATTATTTTATGCTGGATTATTTCACAACTAAAAGTTATCTTTCTGATTTTTTAGTCAGAAATCTTGGTCAGTTAGCGACCATTAAATTTTTATTTTGAAATAATTATAATAATAGGTTAAAGTATAAAAATAAATGGCTGTTTTTACTTGTTTATGTTTTCTTTTAGCACTTTGGTCAATTGCACACAGGGTAATCAGTGGACTTTTAAACTTATGGAACTCTTCTTTGAACATTTTTTTTATAAGACTCAATTCCAACCCAATGAATTTTCATTGTTCTGTCAATAAATAGTCAAGTAACAATAAATTTGAAAATAAAAGGAAAAGTTAGGAGATGTAAAATTAATGTGAAAATAGTTTTGCAGATACAAGTTTAAAAACCTCTGGGGTTATCTAATTGTGATAATCGAGGTTTTACTGAGTCATTTATTAAATAAATTTTTTAAAAATTTATTTATTTTTAATTAATTAATTACATCAATTTATACATAAAGTATCCAATACTACTGGTAATTATAATATAAAAAGTTAATTTTTAATGTGTTCCCTTTCTCTTATGATATTTAATAATATTAAAGCTAACTCTAAACAGACAAAGGAAAAGGCACCCATATTTAGAAGCTTTATTACAAAATGTATATTGCAAAATCTGAGTTTATCAGAGTAATTAATTGAGAGAAAGAGAGAGAGAAATAAATGAAATCATTCAAAATAATGAAGTTAAACAATAGTAATACATTTTGATACAACATTTAAACCCGACCAAAATACAAACAACCTACTGTAGTAGCATTGCTATATCACTCATGGTTTTTTTTGTTTTTTCAAAATACAAGGCAAGCATTTTTTTTGTTGTTGTTTTCTTTTATCACAAACATTATGAGCTTTTAATTTAATACTTGTAATTAAACATATACATATTTATGTTAATTTTACAAAGAAGTTTATTCCACAAATAGCTTTTTAAATTATGAAAATTTAAAAATATTTTAAAAAGCAGGAAAATAATTGCATATAAACTATACTACAGTGTGGAATGCAATTAAAAACTTTAGGCTTGCAACAATTTAAATATTAAAACTAACTTATAATTCCTTATAGTGCGATTTGAATTTTACCATTGGTATATCTTCAATAAATAACTTTATACTACAGTAAATATTTAAATATAATAACATACCATAATTTCATAATATAACATTTCAAATATCACAGGATATGATTCGATTGTTATTTCACCAATCTGATTGGGAGGTTGAAATAAAAAAGTGGTAACTTTTTTTTTTTAAATTATT